GAAATGAAGGAATGAACAATAAAAATGAAGCCCTGTTCTCAGAGTCTTCCGGGGAGATCATGGTCATGGCTCTTACCTGCAGCAAGTGGGTCTCTAAACCTTGACCTCAACTTGCCCATCTGTTAAAGAAGGGACTTATTAAGTCCCAAAGGTCCCTTTCAACTTGAAGATTGCCTAAGTTTACTAGGATCATCCTAAGAAAGCATCTTCTCTCCCCTGCCCCAAAACCCAAAGACCTGGGAGATTTCCTCACATGGTCCCAGGGAATCCATTTTTCCTCCTCCATCTAAACCACAACCCCACACTTATAAGAAGGGGAGAAACAAGGCTGATTTTCCTGCTTCCAACTCCTGCTGCTGCCCTAAGCACCAAGGGGGGTCCACACTAAGGGTGGTCTGTCCTGATTTTTGACTCAGACACCTGATAAAGAAATCTGTCAGCTGTTCCCTTTCTGTGCAAGAGGGGAGGTGTGAGGAGTTGCTGAAAACTCTGCTTGTCCTGGGGATGAAGCTAAAGGGTGGAGTCAGGCAGGCGCTCCACAGCAGACACTGCTTTAGACCTCTGCTCCATGAAAGTGGGGACTTGGGGTCACCTCTGCCATAGAGAGCAGGAGTGGCAGTGACCCCACCCTCTGAAGAGTCTCTGCACCTGGGCTCTGGGATGGGACCCAGGTTAAAGACAGGTATAAAGGCGGGCTTCCCCTTGACACTCATGGTCTCAAGGGAGGAAGATGGCTGTGGATGGCAGGAAAGGCTGGGGTGCCTTCTTGGAGAAAGAGAGTTTAAAGACATTTTAGGAAGGTTTTCAGTTGGTTGGGGAAGGAGCAGGGACAGGGACACTGTCCCTGAGAAGGTTGGCTATTTGGGGGAAGAAAAGGAAATGATTATTAAGGCAGGTTCTTTCTTGTACAGCAGGGATAGCCAAAATGGTCTCCCAGGTCTGGATGGGTTTGAGGGATTTACATTTGGGGGTGATGAGGCCAACCAAGAGGAGCTACCTTTGCCATCGTCTGGTGGGAGGCAGCTTTTAGTGGAGGGGAACCTATGGAGAAGATAGGGTGCCCTTGGCCTGCCATTGGGCTCTGGTTCTGTCACCTGCTTTGTCAGGCCCAAGCTGGAGATACCCCACTGCCCTCCCTGGCCTACAGGTAAACGTGCTGGCTCTCAGCATCTGTACACGGGAAGCCTACCAGTCCATGAAGGAGCGGAATGTGGATGACGGGCACATCATTAACATCAACAGGTGAGGGCTGGTGGCCTACACAGAAAACTGAAGTCATCACTTGCCCTCCAGGGTGGGTGATCTGCTGCTGCTCACTTGACCTCTTTGGACTTCAGTTTCCTTGGTGGGAAAATATCCAGAAGGTGCAATTCCAATGAGAGAAAGTGCTAGTCCCTGCTTGGCCAGAATGGGCAGTCTAGCCCCTTCCCTCTGCAGCCAAACTCCGGAACTCTCCTGGGACTGCACACATCCTGTCTTCAGGTGCTAGGATGAATATCCTATACAGGTGGCAGGTGGCACAGAGAAAGACTACATAGGCTCAACCTTTGGGGAGACCCCATCCTGAGTGGTGACATGGCCTATTCCTGCTTCTGGAGATATTCCAGGATTCACCCAGGCATGGTGGCACACACCTGTAATCCCAGAGGCTCTGGAGGCTGAGGCAGGAGGATTGCAAGTTCAAAGCCAGCCTCAGCAATGGCGAGATGCTAAGCAACTCAGTGAGACCTTGTCTCTAAATAAAATACAAAAAAGGGCTGGGGATATGGCTCAGTGGCCAAGTGCCCCTGGGTTCAATCCCTAGTACCCCCTGCCAAAAAAAAAGTTAGATTCAGTGGGCTGTGGGGGTTACCACAGAATTCCACTTTAGATGTTTTCCCATTGGCCTCTGGGTATGGGGTTGACCAGGATGGCAGAGGGCATTCACTGCCTGTTTCTGTGGAGTTTCACTCCTCTTTCTCCTTCCCTCTTTCCACCCAGCATGTCTGGTCACCGAGTCCCACCCAACTCTGCGACCCATTTCTATAGTGCAACCAAATACACCGTCACTGCGCTGACTGAGGGATTGAGACAAGAGCTTCGGGAGGCCCAGACCCACATTCGAGCCACGGTGAGGCTGTGGCCTAGGCTTGGTGGGGATGGGGTGGGCAGAGGCCCTCCTGTCACATGCTGCCCAGAAGCTCATGGTCAGGGTGGGTGTTTCAAGTCTGTGGGAGTGGACTGGGTACAGAACCCCTGGGCTCTGTTGCTCCTTGCATGGCCTTGCTCAGCTCTTGAGATTCTTCATTTCACCAGTAACCAGTAGAGGGCTGACTTGGGAACATGCTTGAGTGAAACTAGGGGAAAGCCAGGGATTGTGGGAAACCAGGTACACAATGGCTGGATGCCACAACTCTAGGCTCTTTCCTTGAAGGCTACATTATCTTGGGCAAGTCACTGGATCTCTCCAAGCTTCAGTCTTATTTGTAAAATGTGGAGTTTCATTCCTCTTTCTCCTTCCCTCTTTCCACCTAATGTTTAGGAGCCTTTAAGAAATGCCATTTTGTCAGTCATTTAGCTGAGATATAGGAAGATGCTCTGTTCATGGTAGGGAACATGTGATCTTTGACAGTGGCACCTTTGGAGGGAGGGTGTGTTTGCTGGACACTGGGCTGCCATCACCATGGAAGTTGGGGCCCTGCGACCTCCATCCTTTCCTCCCAACCTCCCCAAGGCCTTGAAAAGCTCACCCTCTGATTAGGCCCTTCTGTTGGCCCAGTGCATTTCTCCAGGTGTGGTGGAGACCCAGTTTGCCTTCAGACTCCATGACAAGGACCCTGAAAAAGCAGCTGCTACCTATGAAGTCATGAAGGTGGGCTTCCCTCTGGGCCTGGTAAAGGCACCCAATCCCTAAGTTAAGACAGGGAACCCTGGCCTCAGTCTCCACCCTTCGGTCCAGTTTGTCACCCCTCCTGGAGGGTTGGGGTGGGAACGTGGACACTGGAGAGGACCTCAGTGGTGGGAAAGAACTTGGGTCCGTTCTCTCCTTGTCTCAACCTTTCCCCTGGTACTCTCAGTGTCTCAAACCTGAGGATGTGGCTGAGGCTGTCATCTATGTCCTCAGCAGCCCCCCACATGTCCAGGTGAGTTTGGCTTTGACTGTCCACCCCCTGGAAGAGCCCAACCATCCCCACAGGAGGGGAGCAGGGAGGCTTTAAGGGGTGGGGAGTGTCCTGGCTGCCTCAAGCCTTGTGCCTTCCACAGATTGGAGACATCCAGATGAGGCCCACAGAGCAGGTGGTCTAGTGTCCTGTGGGACCTCTTCCTTCCCTCCCTACTCCTGATGGCTTGGCTCCTGCGTCTGGATTTTAGGTGTTGATTTCTGTCTCTACCCCAAGGGCTAGAAATTTTGTTTGAAGTTTTAATATCTTGTCAAATCATTTCCACTGCAAATGTGAAAAATGGGCTGGGGAGAGGAGGTGGGGGCCCTCATTGCTTTTCCTGTTAACACGCTGTGAGTTTCCTCCTTGGTCTCCTTCACCTTTGCTCTCCTCAGGCTTCCCTTTGAACTGGCAAAGGGGATATGGCCAAAAGGGGGGCTCCCCCATCTTCTTGCATCCCAATCTCTGCCCTTCAAGGTTGGAGTGGCAGAGAGAGGCCCTCACCTTACATCTAAATGGTTACCCAGGGCTCCAGCTTTCCTTCTCTCCCTGCCCCACTGCTTCCCCTTCCCTTCCCCTTTCCAGCTCTCCAGCCCAATCTAGGTTTCTGTGCTTCGAGTGGGACCATCCCTCCACTCTGACTATAAGAGCAGAATCCCAGGGCCTGACTCCCAGTAGATTTCACTGTGATAATTAAAAAAGGAAAATCACAACCAACCTGAACTTCAGGAATGTCTTTCAATTCTTCCTCCTCTGTGATCCAAATGGTTTGTGTCTCAGAATTTCTTTCACATGGGTGGATGTGGGACATCACTTCTGGACTGTGGATTACCTTAGGGAGCAGGAGAAGTTTGGGTTGGGTTTTAAAAATGGAGAGGAGTTTGCTAAAGACAAAGAGAAGACAAACAGGGTGTGCAGTGCTGTGTGAATAGCACGCTAAAAACTAAGAACAGGACGGATGTAGTGGGAGCATCTGTGATCTCAGCAAGTCCAGAGGCTGAGGCAGGAGATGGCAAATTGGTGGCCAGCCTCAGCAATTTTGCAAGGCCCTGAGCAACTCAATGAGACCCTGTCTCAAAAAATAAAAGGGGCTGAGGATGTGGCTCAGTGGTAAAGCTCCCCTGGGTTCAATCCCTGGTATCAAAAACGAAACAACAAACAGTGTAGGAGCAAGATGGGACTGAATGAATATATGGAAGGTTGAGGCAGGAGGAGATGAGTTCGAGGCTAGCCGGGGCAACACAGCAAGACTAAAATTAATGAGAAAAAAAGGTCCTGTGTGCGTGCGTGTGTGTGTGTGTGTGAGAGAGAGAAGAGGTGTGTCCTGGGTCACTAGGGATCTGAGCATTGAGCAAAGGAGTCCAGCCATTACCTGTAGTAATGCATCAGTTGGGCTAGTCATCAGGGACATGAGAGGCCGAGAGATGACTTGGGAAGAGAATGAGCGGCCAAGGTTTGGGAAGTATGGTTGGGGTCCTATTAATTGGTGATGAGGTCTGACAAGGAGAAGCCTCTGGGAAAAGTCCCCAAATGGGACGCGCCTGGATGTGGGGAGAGAGGCATCAAGACTGACTTGGTTGAACAGGAGGAAGGCCAACCTGTTCCGTGAATTCTCATTTGCTAGTGTGTGGCCGAACGCGCCCGGCCCCCGCGCTCTTGGGAGTTATCCGGGGACAGCCGCAAAGCCCGCTCAGCCTCACTGCGGGTCCGCCAGCTCTCCGCTGTGGGTGGCGCTCTCGGCTCATCCAGCCCTGCAGAGAGCGCTGTGGGCACGTCCTGGCGATCCGGCATGCGCAGTGCGTCGTGGGGCAGGGGGTGGGGCTGCCGGAACCCGGAAGCGCAGGACCCACGTGGAAATCGCGGAGGGGTGGAGGGTGGGCGGGGACTGTGTGGCTCAGCTGTCGGGTTCAGGGAGTCCCCGAGCTGGTAGTGGGGTCTGTTCGTCCCTGAGAGCAGCCGTTGTGTCCTCTTCACCTGCACGTGGCGGTGACTCCTCGCCAGGACGCAGCTGGGGGCTTCCCGGCACGGCCCGCACAATGGGGCTGCTCTCGACCCTCACGGTCGCTACCTGTTACTGCTCTGGTCGTCTGGTGGCCCGTCATTTCTCCCGTGGGGTGCGGCCTGGCGGGGAGGAACTAAGCCGCCTGAGGCTGGATGACTTGGCGCCGACCCCGCGGCTAGAGCTTCTGTTTGGCTTGTCCCCGTGTCTCCTGGCTCTGCGAGCCGCCCGCCGCCGAGTGGCCCGGCTCCTGCTCCAAGCCGGCAGGGCTGGACTACAGGGAGAGCGGGCCGAGCTGCTCCGGGAAGCGGAGGCTCGGGACATCCCAGTTCTGCGGCCCAGGCGGCAGAAACTGGACGCCCTGTGCCGCCACCAGGTGCACCAGGGCGTCTGCATGGAGGTGAGCCCGCTGCGGCCCCGGCCTTGCAGGGAAGCGGAGGAAGTAAGCCCAGGCGACAACCACCAGCAACTGTGCCTCGTCCTTGAGGGGCTCCAGGATCCCCGGAATCTTGGTGCTGTCCTGCGCTCCGCTCACTTCCTCGGAGTGGACAAAGTCATTATAAGCCAGAGAAACAGGCACGGGCACTCCTTATTCCCCATGTACCCAACTTGGAGGTGCAGTCGAGTTCCTAAGCACCTTGGCCTTCGGGTGGTTCCTCCCCTTTGCCAGAACTTGCACCCCTAGCCCTTGGGAGCCCGGGGGTGGGTGGGGCGCCAGGTTTGAGATTGACCAACCTAATGCTGGGGCCGGGAATCTTTACAGCTGCCCGCTCACTCCAGTAGTCAGCAAGGCCAGTGCGGGGGCTATGGAGGTGATGGATGTGTTCTCTACTGACGACCTGGCAGGTTTTTTACAGGTAAATGGAGAGGGGGAAGGAACGGGAAAGAAAGAGATGAGCTTAGCTCAGCCACCGTTTTTAAGCAGTGAATGGTGGAAGGAGAGAGAAGGGTGCGTGTGCGCATTGATTCCTACGGCCTTCTAAATCCCATTGGGAAGGGAAGGGTCCTGGAGTTTTCAAAACCACCAAAAGAAAAGTTCTGAAGTTAGGGTCTTTCTGGCATCGTTCCCTTTGCTGCACTCCTGGACTAGAGATGTGGCTCAGTGGTCGAGCACTTGCTTAGCAAGCACAAGGCCCCGGGTTCAATCTCCAGCACGCTTCCCCAGGCAGTCTTCTTTCCCGCTTCTTTAAGGGTACTTCAGTGTCTCATTGCTATGTAGGTCTTAAGCGATGCTTGCTGTTTAGCCCTGGGGAGCTGGGGAACAGGAGATTTGTGGTCCTTGAGTAGGGGCACAGCTTGAAAGGATCATTGAACAAGGGGACCTGTATGCCTTTGATTTCTAGGAAGGGGTAAACTTGAGGGAGGAACTTCTGTGGTCCCTCTATCCGTCCGTTTTCAGTTGTTCCCCCTGCTGGCCACAAGAGGGCAGTATTGCACTGCATTTGGCAGCCCCTCTGACGGTCGTCCTGTGAGAAATTCCCTCTTGAAAAGGAGAGCTCTGAAACAAAGTTGCACAATAAAAAGACAATGCCAGCCACGTAGTAACTTCATATTTTCTACTAGCCACGTTGAAAGGTGAAATTAATTTTAGTAACTTACCCTATTATATCCAAAATATTATCATTTTAAATATCATTAATATTTTACATCTCATTTAACAGTTTTCACATACAGCACATATCTACCTGGAGTAGTCACATTTCCATTGCTTAGTAGTCACATGTGGCTCATGGCTACTACATTGAACAGCACATCCCCAGAAGTGTTTTCTGGCTATTCCTTCTTACAGGGAGTCCCCTTCAGAGGAACTCTGGCCAAGCCTAGTAGGAGATGAAGTTTCCCTTCCTCACCCCCAGCCTCTCAACAAGTAGCTCTTGAAAAAACACAAACACTCTGATTCCGTAAGCTCCATTCAGGACATCTGCCTCCTCCCACCAGCAGCTTGGCCCATAGGGCTGTCTTGCCTTCTGTCACCATGGAAGAACTGGAGGTGCCTCAAGCAAAGGCCGTGCTGGGCCCCGGACCTTCCTGCCCACTTAAAAGACACTGCTCCAGCAAGTTCTTTTTTCTCCATTTTCTCACTTTCATTCTCGTCACATTCACAGATGTTCTCATTCTCTCCTGACCTCAATCCCATGCTGAATTGAAGCCTTTGACAAGGTCACCGGTATCCTCCATGTTGCTATAGTCAAGGGTCTGTTTCAGTCCTTATCTGACATGAGCCATCTGCAACATCTGGCACAGATGACCACTCTTTCCTCCATGTGATATTCCTCCCCTTATTCACCTAGGCTTTTAAAATGCTCAGTGGTGCTGAGGACTGAACCTAGCGCCTCACCATGTGAGGCAGGTGCTGTACCATTGAGCCGTACCACCAGCCCATTCTATTTCATTTTTCTCCTGTTCTGTGTTCTTTGTTTCTTTTTAATTTGTTGTTATTTGTCAATGGATCTTTATAATTTATTTACTTATGTATTTATACGTGGTACTGAGAATCAAACCCAGTGCCTCACACATGCCAGGTAAGTGCTTTACCATTGAGCTACAACCCCAGCCCCATCACTGTGTTCTTTCTTTTTTTTTTGGTACTGGAGATTGAACCCAGGAGTGATTACCCACTGACCCACATCCCCAGCCCTTTTTTTATATTTTATTAAAGACAGGGCCTCACTGAGTTGCTTAGGGCCTCTCTAAGTTGCTGAGGCTGGCTTTGACCTTGCGGTCCTTCTTCCTCAGCCTCCCCAGCTGCTGAGATTACAGGTGTGCACCACTGCATTTGGCTACTGTGCTCTTTCTTGAAGTTGACTTTGGTGATTCCTTCTCAACTCCCTCATGCCCAAACGTTAAATTTTCCCAGATCTCAGTCCCTGGATCTCTTTTCTGAATATTCACTTTGTTGATCTCATCTTGTCTCATGGCTTTAAATACCATCTATATTCACATGCCTCCTAGATGTGTACCCTAGCCCAGCTCTCACCCCTGAACTCCAGATTCACTCATCTACCTGTCTCCTCTGAAGCTCTTTTTTATTCCTAGTGGGCATTTCAAACAACATGTTCAAAACTGAGTATCTTTCCTTCTGAAGCTTACCCAGTCCAACTGTGGCAACTCTATCCCTTTGGCTAGAAACCATGGTGCCATCCTTGACTTCCTGCTCTCATACCATGCCCCCATTCCACCTGTGGCCAAATCCTACTGGCTTTATCTTGGAGTTATTGCCAGTGAAAGTTTCACTGCTCAAACTCTCCATTGCTACCATAGTCCAGGCCACGATCGTCTCTGTCTCTTGTTTTTGTACCAGGGATTGTACTCGGGCACTCAGCCATTGAGCCACATCCCCAGTTCCATTTTGTATGTTATTTAGAGACAGGGTCTCACTGAGTTGCTTAGCGCCTCACTTTTGCTGAGTCTGGCTTTGAACTCATGATCCTCCTGCCTCAGCCTCCCAAGCCTCCACCACTGCCGGCTGCACCATTGTCTCTTGACTCGTTGCAGAAGCCTCACTGGTCTTCCGTCTGTTCTGATTCTCAGCATGGCAGGCAGAGTGATTCTGTTGAAATGTAAGTCAGACCATATTACTTTTCTATCCAAACCTTTCAAAGCTTTTGCATCTCAGAGTAAAAGCCCAAATCCTTTCAGTGGCTTTCAAGGTCCTCCCTTACGTAAGCCTTGTTCTGTGGCCTCCTTACTGTTCCTCACATGTGCAGGTAAGCAAGGCCTCTGGGCCTTTGCATTCCTAGAATGCTCAGAGCATTCTTCCCCCAGATGTCCACGTGGCGCCCCTCATCCTCTCCATGTCTACACTCACGTGTCATTTCAACAAGGCCTTCCACAGGCTGGGATTCTGTTCTGTTTCTTTTGTTCACAGCCTCATTCTCGGTGCCTACAATAGCCTGAACAGATCGAGGTGTTTAATAACTTGACAGAACTGAATGCATCTTTAAGCAAGGGCACATGTGGTGAAGACTGGGCTCCATTTCCCCAGGGCTCTGATGGAGATTTGTGAGCTAAAACATAGTGTTTTCTCTTTCAGGCCAAAGCCCGGCAAGGCTGGCTTGTGGCAGGCACCGTGGGCTGCCTGGGGCCTGAGGTTTCGCAGTCCTCCCAAACCCCCATCATGAGTTGCTTAGAGTTCCTCTGGGACCAGCCTACTCTCCTCGTGCTGGGTAGGTAGATGTCCCTGCTCTTCTTGCTCCAATGCATGTTTCCTGAGCACTTTGTGTCTAGCTGGGTTGCCTAACCCTCTGCCCTGTGCCCTGCAGGGAACGAGGGTTCTGGTCTGTCCCAGGAGGTACAGGCCTCCTGTCAGCTCCTCCTTACCATTCTGCCAGGGCGCCAGCTGCCTCCCGGACTCGAGTCCTTGAATGTGTCCGTGGCTGCAGGTGAGTCAGCTTCTTCCCTTTCCTGATGGCCTCTAACCACACAAGTGCTGCTTTTCTCCCATCCCATTTTCTGACTGAATTCTAAATAAGCTACCTGGTCCTTCTGTGTCAGTTGCTTCGTGTGCAAAATGGGGAGAATACGTCCTTTAGGGATGAAGTGAGGGAGAGCCTGGCATGGGTCAAGGCTCCCCGTACATATACCTTCCTCCCTCAGTCTCTTTCCCTCGTCTGTCGGTGCAGGAATTCTTCTTCACTCCATTTGCAGCCAGAGGAAAGGTTTCCATGCAGTGGAGAAGACAGAGAAGACCCACAAGAACCACCAGCTATGTCCAAAGGACTCTGAGTCGCTCAGCACCCAGAATCGTCTTCAGGATCAGAAAAAGAGAGGCAAATGGGGGCTTAGGGGGCTGTCCACGAAGTGCACGTGATGGTGCCAGGACAGTTGCACACACATCCCCAGGTCTGGCCTGCTGGCACCCCTTCTGGAGTGTACACCCAAGCCCCTGTTCCTTGATGTCAGTCATTAACTGTATGGCCGGGGACCCTGCAGTAAAGACCGGAGGAGTTCAGTCTCCTATTTTGCTGTGGACCTGCAGTTGAAGATGTAGTTTGGTGATTTCCAGGATGGGCTACAGCAAAAGTCGAGTGGAAGTTGAGGCTTCAGAAGGGAATCAGGCAGCCCAGTCCAGGGTCCAACTGCTCCTGACCAGGTGTTGCCTGTGGCGAATGTTGAGTGTGAGGATGTGGAGGGAGGCCGAGGCCTTCCTGTGGGATAGACGAAGTACAAATCAAGGACTGTCCCCATGTGGGCCTTAAGTACATGTCTTCATCTTGTGGTGCCCAGGACCTTGGTCTGCACCTACCTACCTCACAGGGTTGTTGTGAGGAGCAAATAAAACATCACCTGGTATCATCCATTAAGCACTCCATGAATGGGCTGATTTGTCCCAATTCGTCCATTAGGTGGCAGCCTCGCTCTTTGGTCCACAGTTCTGGAAAGCTTTTGCAGCCACCTGGAGAGACTTCCGGCTGCAGTTCCATTAGAATCAAAAAATTAGCAGTGACACCCCCTCCCCCATACACATACACACCACTCATAGAAGCAATGCCCCTGCCCTGAGTGTGGGGTGGTGGGGACGGGATTGCTACTTATTGTGCAAGCCAGACAGATTTGGTGTGCCTTCACCGAGGCCCCACAAGTGGTGCAGAAGCCACAGCCTGAGTAATGCAGAATGCGATTCTCAGCACCACATAAAAACAACAACAGATAAATAAAGGTTAAATTCTTTAAAAAGGAAGAAAGAAACAAGCCCAACACTGCTGCCAGAGTGCCCTTTCAGAGGTCTAGGTGCATCCTGATCATCAGGCTTTCTAAACTGTCCCCCTGCCCCTAGATGAGTCTAACCTGCAGCCATGGCTAAGGGCCACCAGAGCAGTGCCTCTCAACCTTGGCACTACTGCCACTTGGGACCAGATAATTAATTCTTTGCCGTGAGAACTGTCCCGAGCGTTATAGGACGTTTAGCAGCATTCCTGGCTTCTAGGCACTAGATACCAGTAGCACTGCCCTCCAGTAGCACTGCCCTCCTGTCCCCTGTTATGAAAACGGAGCTGTCTCAACATCTCCACATCATCTCTGGTTGAGAACCACTGCACTGGAGCACAGGTTGGCAGAGCAGCAATCCCTAAGTTGTAATCCTGGTCACTGTGATTTGAGGCAAGTTCCCTACACACCTGAGCAACAGTCAACTCCTCCATGATGGAAATAATACTACTTGCTGGATTCCTGAGAGGATATGGAGAGCAACAGGAATTCAGTATTTCATATGTAGTAGATGCTCAATAAATAGTTCCATCTTTTTCTTCTGGACTCCCATCTGCTGTGGATTTAGCTTGCAATTGTGAGGGCAATGCCAATTTAGAACAAGATTTGAATTTCCTTAAAAAGTTCCCAAGATCATTTTAAAGTCATAGTTTTTCTTTTTTAATTTTTTTTTTTGAGAGGAGAGAGAAGAGAGAGAATTTTTTTTAATATTTATTTTTCAATGGACACAATATCTTTATGGGGTGCTGAGGATTGAACCCAGCGCCCCATGCATGCCAGGCAAGCACGTCACTGCTTGAGCCACATCCCCAGCCCATAGTTTTTCATCTCAAGAAAGAGGACAAAGCCCCTTCATAAGCTCGACTCTTCCCTACTAGCATCTGTCCCCTCTGGAACTTTCTGATCCTAACTGCCACACAGGTTCTGACCTCTGCTGAGCTTGAGCGCAGCAGATACTAGGATGCCTCTGCCACCCCTGCACCCTTGACCAAGAGCCAGGTGTAGTGATTTTTAACTTTTTAAGTTACTATTTTTACTTATTTAAAATTTTTTAACTTTGGTGGAACCTTGCAGCCATGGGGCCAGAGAGAGAGAGAACTCTTAGCATTCTAAATACCCAGAAGGACCAGCCCCTAAGAAACGATCTCTGGGGAAGGAACCAGGTTTCAGTATTTCTTAAAGCTCCCAGTTGATAGTGTACCACTGGGGTCTGAGACTCCCTTGCGCTTTGCACCACGCTTCATGTCCAAGCAATGCTCCATGTTCACGCCTGTGTCTTTGAGCTCATGCTTGAAAGTTTGGGCCAGGATGATGCTTCATCTGTCCCTTAGGGTCTTTGGAAGATGTGCTTTCCGGTCTCGGCTCCATGACATACTACTTAGCTTCCCAGACTCCTCATCTGTAGATTAGGGATGGTGCCATTCCGACCAGCTCTCTCTACCCCTTTCCCAGGAGGGAAATTAGAAATAAAAGTTATCAGTAAAAATGTCCTATTGTTCTGGGGTGTAGAGCGCTTGACTAGAGTGTTCTAGGCCCTGGGTTTGATCCCAGCACCAGGGGGGACAAAGATGATCTGTAAGCTAAAGGACTGGGCACCCCAGGACTAACCCAGGACTAACACATTAGTACAAACTCTGATGTGATGGTTGATTTTGTGTCAATTCGACTGGAGCATGGGTTACCCAGGTTTGGGTCAAACATTATTCTGGGTGTTTCTATGAGGGCGTTTGTGGAAGAAATTAAGATTTGAATCAGCAGTGTAAAGCAGACTACCCTCCCTAATGTGGTGGGCCACATCTAGTCAGTTGAGAGCCTGAATAAAACAAAAGGCTGACCATTCCCCAGGCAAAAGAATTCCTGCCTTCAGACTCAGGGGGAAAAACTCCTCCTGATTTTTCAGCCTACTGACCTTTGGATGGGAGCTATGCCATCGACCTCTTGGGTTTCCAGCTGGCTGACTCACCCTGCAGATCTTGGGACTTGCCCTCCTCCATAATTGCATGAGCCAGTTCCATATAATCTCTTTAAACACAGGTACACATGCACCCTGTTGGTTTCTCTGCAGAACCCTGCCATACACGTGACAAAAAACACAGATATCCCAGTGCTCCCTCCCTGTGGGGTACAAAGTCCGCTCTGCTCTCTTGACCAAGCCCCACACGGAACCTAGAAGTTGGCTGAGATAAAATCAGAGAGAACAGCATTGGTTCAGAGCAGGGCCATGGCTGTTCAACAGGGCTTTGTTGGAGTTCCAGCTCTGACTCGCAGTCATGGAGATATGGACAGTCCCCTCAGTTGGCAGCCTTTGTTTTCATCATCTACAAACATGGAGATCACAACAGTATCCACTTCAAATTGGTCTGGATTCAAAGAGGTCATTACAGAAAGCCCTCCACCCCAAGCCTGGAGGAGGATGGCAACTCTTCCTTGGGACACCTAAATGCAGACTCTGAGGTCAGGGAGCAGCTGTGCTTTTCTTCCAGGCGGTGGGGCCCATTTCAGCCAAAATGCACCATCACTTCCCCACCCCCAAGAGAAGAGCCTCTGGTATCCTCAGAGCAGCTGAAGAGGGGCCAGCACCTTGAGCCCCCTCCAGAGCTGGCATCTTTTGCCAGAAGGCTAAACTAGACCCTCTCACACACACATCATTCCCGCAGGGTCAGGCGCCAGGGAGCCCCACAGTTTGTAAATGTAATCAACCTTGAGGTCTCTCACTTGCACAGGTGCAATTAGCACGCCCATCTGCTAATCCCTGATTAATGATGTTTACAAACATGGCGCTCCACTCACAGAGAGGCCTGGCTCCTTCCTGCAGCTGGGAGGCATGCATCTGCCCAGCAGCCCCTGCCCTCTTCCTCAGCCCTCCCCAGTCAAAACCCTTCTCTCTTTGCTTTCCCGGAAGTGGGCAGAACTGGAGTCCCCCGCCCCACCCCAATTCTCACTGCACACATGTGGAAAAGAAACTTGAGAGCACAGATGGGGGACACACAGTGGACATGCTGCCTTTCCCCACCACTCCAGCTCCAGCTACGGAGCCACACAGATGTGCCTTCCGTGTGGGGTCCGTGTGGGCGTGTGTCAGGGGCTTTACCAAAAGCACAAAGAACACAGACTTCTGAGTCAGTCCCGGGTCCCAGTGTCTGTTCTGCTTTAGTCGAGAGTCACTTAACCTGATGGAGCCTCAGTTTCTTCATCCATAAAATGGAGATAAGAATACTATTTACCATAGAGGTTTAAGGTTTATAGGTGAGGATTAATAATAGGATTATAAAAAAGATCAGCAGTGCCTGGGACACATTAGTAGGTGCTCAATAAATGTGAGCTATTTACTGCAGTGCAAGTAGTAATAATGAAGATGATGGTGATGTGTGGGGGAGGGGTCAGTGCTTCTGAATCTACAGAGATGGACTTCTTCCCTCACCCCTCTCTGGGGAGAAGGGCAGGTCCCAGCTCATTACTGATGGGGGCTGGGGTAGAGGTGTCAGATTGGAATCACTCCTGGGTCTGTTCACAGCTTCCCTGTTTCATTAACACCTCCCTAGTGGTCTTGGCTCATCCTGCTAGGAGAGGCGTCCAGAAAGTTCTAACTGCCTCCCGCCCAGCCCTGAGCTCAGTGTCCCTCACTTTCTGGGGTCTATGCTCCAGATGTGCATGGAGGGGTTTTTATGCCAGGAGAGGCAGCTATTGACCAGGAAGCCATCATTGTCCCTTCTTCTGAGGGTCCTAGAGGCCTGGTCAGGGACCGTGCCTCCGCACGTGGCCCATCCTTTACCAGTCCTCATCGAGTTCTGTCCATGGGTCCTATCATCCCAACCCGGCCACGGGCCTCATCTCCTTCCTTGGGAAGGCTGCATGACATAGTGCGAATGTGCCTGTCTTGGGTTCCAATCCCCTCTCACCTCTTGCTTGCTACCTAGATGGCAAGTTGCTTATCCTCTAGGACATTAATTTGCCTTTTCTGTAAAATGCTGATGCTGTACCTCAGGGGTTAGCTGAGTGCCCTACAAATTGTAAATCCTCAATAACTGATAACAATTATTTTACTATGGCAAACTGCAATCAGAAACATCTTTTAAAATGCAGAAACTTGTTTAGACGCCTGGGGTGGTAGAGGGGAGGCAGGGTTAGAGAGGAGGACCATTAGCAAGTCCCCGAGAAGCAGGGAAGGCATGAGCTCTGATCCCAGTGATCAGCCCAGCTTCTTTCCCATATTGAGAAGAGGGGCCAGGAGCTGAATGGGACCAGGAGATTTATACCTGGGGCTCTGCAGGGGCTGCTTCTAAACAAGGTTTCTCTGAACTACACTCCCCTACCCTTGCCCAGCTGTCATGATATTACTTTCAGAGGACACACTTCCCCAGCTGTTGGGGAGGGAGGACAGGTGGTACCTGGGCCTTCTGCACCTCTGACCCCTCAGGCTTCTAGCTTTTCTGCTATGGTTTGTGGGTGTCAGAAGGGAGTCTCCAGGAAAAAGAGTACCTTTTGTGGTTTATCTGAGACCTCAAATAAAGTCCATGAACTGTTTCCCTTAGAAAGCAAAAATGGAAGCCAGGTGCAGTGGTGCATGCCTGTAATCCCAGTGGCTCAGGAGGC